TAGTATGGTTGAACTGGATCATCGAAGGTCAGAAGCAAAGACATTGGTTAATAGAATGGGATTAAATACATAAAGGATATTTGTGTTGTTTAACATTTAATTATGGCAGGTTTGCGTCATATTCTGTGTTGCATTATTTTTATTCGTTTTGAGGAATACTGAATCATTTTTTTTTTTTTGTGAGTGATTTGAATTAATGCATATTCATATTTATTTTAGAACTACAGTAACATCTGATTTCTCAACATGGGGATAGGAGAGCTGTCAATTAATACATTGAAAAAAAAAAGTAACTTGCGTTACTTATTTGAAAAAGTAACTCAGATATTCTCTTGTAAATTAAAAAGTAATGCATTACTTTACTAGTTACTTGAAAAAAGTAATATGATTACGTAACTCGCTTTACTTGTAATGCGTTACTACCCCCAACACTGCTGATCCCCCGGAATAAACCAACTTGATGTCAATGTCCAGCAAAAATCCAGCAAAGTCCCTTGAGCCACCATTTAACTGCAGGCTCTTGTTATTATGGCCTCCTATTTGCTTTTTCAGCTGCAATCCACTTTCTCAGACTGCACTTCTACCTCTTATATACCGTGCACAACAGGCGTATCGATTTTGTCAAAGTAAATTGAAGCCACAACTTCTTCAAATGAAGTTAAAGCATCCATTCTTTTATTTAGCAGCAAGACAACAAAAATAACACAACTAGTGTGTTTTTAAGCACTAGGTGTTAAGCACAAAAAAAAAAAAAATTATATTTGAAAGTTTAAATTTCTTGGAAGGAAAAAAAACCTTGAGTTAAGATGGTTAATACTAAGCAGAAAGACTTGATGTTAGTTCAACAAATGTGAGAGATGACAATTCAACACCATGCCAACTTTTATTTAGTTGAATGCTTCATTACAAAAATATTGAAATACATTTGGAAGGCAATTAATGAAAAGTTCTTTTAAATAAAAACAATTTAGCAAGGGATGGGATACAAGGTGAGAACAAAAATTATACGGACCACCTAATAGAGTAAGCCAATCATCTACAACATCTTGAAGACATAAATGCCTTGTACTATGCAGCAACAAATGCACAGTTGGTTAAGAGTGTAAATGGTTGTTTATACACCTGTTGGAATGTTGCTAACTGAATCTTAAGCAGATGTCATTTTTACTAACTGGAGAGGGTTCAAAAAGAAAACATGAAAGCAGGCTGGCAGAAACAAAAACAAACACACATTCCCTGCACATCAACATGTTCAACAAATACTCAACCAACAGAAGAAATACTAGTTAAAAATCATTAACAATTGAAGCAAATTTACAAAATTAACCACACCGTCTGTCCCTCTCACTAGCTCGATTTCTGTGTCCAAGCATGGGAAACAAATCTGAACCGAGGCCATCAAAAAAATAAACCTTTAGCAACTAATCACATCAAGCTGTGAAATGAACAGAACTAGGTACAGTTCTGTGATGTATATTTTAGGCATCACTGCATGGTCACAGGCCCATAGAGACTAAATAGAGCCTTTAACTCTGGGGCGGAGGCGGTGGAGGTGCAGGGGGCATCCCGTAAGGTGGCATACCGGGAATCCCCATCATGGTCACAAAGTTAGGGTCCATGGGTGGGGGTGGGGGAGGAGGTGCGTACATCTGCGGCTGTTGCCAGGGTGGCAGGTTTCCAGTGGCAGGGGTGGATGTGGTGGTTGTATCTGGGAAAACAAAAAATAATTCAGTCTGAGCCAAAAGGAAACCCTTTAATGACATCAACTGTGTACTACTCTAATACACTTACTCTGTTGCCATGGCAGTGGAGTGCTGGTTGCCATGCTGCTGGTGGGTGGTGGGGGAGGGGCCTGCTGTTGCCATGGTGGCAGAGGTCCTGAGGGTGGAGGTGGTGGTTGGTTGTTGGGGGGAGGTGGAGGCGGGGGCATCATACCCCACCAGACAAGGGAAGGAAACACTTTAAGCAGGGATGCACGATATTGGAATCGGCAGATAATGGCGTAAAATGTAAACATTGGTATTGGCCCGATATGAAAAATGATGCCAATATGCCTTGATGTTAAGACAAATATGCTCATGTGCTCAGGGTGTGCTAGTGATAAGATAAGCAGTGTGGTCATTCTTGAAGCAAACTTTTGCCTAAATGGTGATTAGATTTACTGTTTTGGATAATTTAATCAGAGAATGCACGTCCAGTGTGTGATAGAGTCAACTGTCATTAGCACATGCAGCAGCTGCAGCCTCCCCGGGGTCCTAATGCCTGTCCCGTAAGCCTTTTATTTACTTAGGGGGCACTGTTGGCCTACTTGTAATAAAATGAAAGTAAAATACACAAATACCATTAATATTGTGTTTTTGATTAAATAAAGTGGTAATCAATATCATAAAATTAAATAATTTTTATATACACAGATTTATTCATTAACGTGTATAGTTTTTTTTTTCCCAAACGTATTATGAAACTTAAATACACAGCTCTAAAAGATTTTCAGAAGTTTTACAACTCTTTTGCTTTAAACCATCTTCAAACGTTAAATCTTCAAATAAAATGTTAAGGTTACCACTGCAGTTGTCCGAGACAAAAATCCCTAATTTTAAGCTTTCTGGAACACTTAAGTATCCAAGTATGAAAGCATGCATTCTTTAATATTCCCAAATACAGATTGTCAGTCGAGTTTTATAGGAAATTTTTCCCAATGTAAGAGGAAGCAAATATCCATTTGTATGCTTCTATCTTTCCAGGTAAATGTTTTATGCTCCATTAAGCAGGAATTGTAGAACCGAGACCCTAAACATCACAGGTCACACTCACCCATGGGGTGTCCGGGTGGTGCTGGGCCTTGGCTCATTGGAGGAGGGGGTGGCTGCATCCAGGGTGGAGGCATTCCATTGGGGTTTGGCGGCATATGAGGGCCGCCCATGTTTGGCATTGGTGGAGGGAAGTTGTGAGGGCCACCAGGACCCTGGTGCATGCCATGGAAATTCCTGTTATCAGTAGGGCCCGAATTCATCCAAGGAGGGCGATTCTGAAAGGTCATCACGTGAATAAATTACTTTTTTTTTTTTAAATAGAAAAATACAAATTAGCTAAATTGTAATGATATTTCACAACATTACAATTTTTACTGTATTTTCAATCAAATAAACACAGCCTTGGTGAGCATGAGACTTTTTTCAAAAACATTTACCGATGTAAAGCTTTTGAACAGTAGTGCACATTATGAAGAAACTAGCATCCAATAAGGGAAAATGGATGTCTTTGGGCTTACTGGTGGTGGCTGGTTGTTGTTGGGTCCTGCAGGACGAGGTCCACTAGGGGGAGGATTGCTGTGGCCCCCACTGGAGGCAGGGATTGGAGCCTCTCCTAACTCTGCCATCAGAGACAAGTACTCTTTATCCATTCGGGCCTTATCCTGAGCAGACTGGGGTGGTTCGCCAGGTCGTTGTGCAAAGGAACTGAGAAGAAGAGAAATACAATGAACCAATGAACTGTGCTGTCTGAACTTTACTTGACATAACCAGAAGGAGGTAAACCACTTGGAAGAGGGAAAAAAATGCATCACCGCTCATCATTGGTGGATGGGGTTACCTGGTAAACTTGCAATCTGATGAGATGTGACCTGCTCCACCACACTTTGTACAGACAGTTGTGTTTGTGATGCTGCGAGGCTCTGTGCTCTGCCATGGACGTAAGATTCTGAGAGAGAAAAAGTACACATTGATGAGTACCAAACATCTGCAACATTTACTCGTCTGCTGCTCCGAGAAAAGGTCAAGTAATCTGCATCAAGTCTCTCACCTGTTATCATCCTCTCTCAGAGTGCCATTGAGTCGTGCCAGCTCCCTCAGCTGCATCTTTCTCAGATCATTCTGGTCTTCAGGGGTCTCAATACCCTGCTTGAGGATATTACGAATCTGTGGACAAAAAGAAAGCACTTTTTTATTAAATGGATTTCTGAGGCGAGTATTAATTCCGAAAACCTGTTTTGACTTCCAAGTACAAGAATGCCTGAAGTGGACTCACCTGCTCTACAGCTTTCTTGACATTCTCCATGGTGTTAGCAGTGACCAGTGCATGAAGAGGTTCATCTTCTCCTGGAAGCATCTGTCCATCCTTACGGCCCACCTTTCCTTCCTTTACTGAGCCTTTACCACGAATCATGATCTTAGCACAGCACTCCTTCTCAATGTTTTTCAGAGTGTTTCCACTGGGGAAATAAAAACACTAGACCAGTGAGAACTTACTTTGTGACATACAGTAGTGACTCAAATCCACCAAAAAAATATAATAAAATAAAATATTGAGAGCTCAAAATCATGCAACTCACCGTGGGCCAATCAAAAGCCCAACAAAGTTGATCTCGGGATATTCATCCTGAGGAATCATCACCTTATCACTGACCCGAGTAGCTGGTGGTCTTTTTGAAAGGAAAAACAAAAATATTTGACCAGTAAATATCTGACACCAGGGCCAGAGAGAGGGCAAAAACCAAGAGTTAATTTGTAGAAGACATACTTGTAGTCAGCAGGGGGTTTGAATTCAGGGTTCAGTCCCACCATCTCTGTAATAAGAGAATGTCTCTCTTCCTCCAGTTTCTTGCGTGTCCGATATTCACGCGTGTTAAGCCTCTTCCCCTCACTGTTGTAGATGGGCTCAGGAGATGGAGACCTGCGAAAAAGAATGAACAACAGAAAGATGCAGCACAAATTCAAAATCTTAAAGCAGTACTTACACCCTCAACAGTAAAACATTCAATGGCTTGCCTACTCTTGACTGAAATTTTGACTTGTTCTGTGGTCATTTAAAAAGTGCATGGGATGCCCCAGAGTGCTCACGTTCTAATGGGAAAGACGAGAAAGGGGGAAAAATGGCTATAACAAAAACGTACTATACTGAACCATTGAAAAAGCAGAAAACATTCTACAGATCAAAGAGCTTGAAGCTCAGAATAAGAACATCAGCAGCTTCTAAAACTGACTTCAAAATGTGGCGCCAAAGAGTCAAACATTATTAAAATGGGTCTTTATAGTCTCGATATTATCTGGGAGATGAAAAATAGGACAAATATCCGAGGCAAACGGGGCAACCAACACACTTGAAAAGCGTCTGTTCTTGAATTCTGATCTAAACCTTCACACTTTCTCAGAGAGCATTCCAACTGTTACCGTCCCCTTGGATGGTGCTGAAAACCTGTTAACCTGCCCAATGAGGTTCTGTGCTTGAAAAAAGTTACGGGAGGGGGAATTTGGGTTAGAGAAATAAATTTGGATTAAATATTAACTTCAACAGCTCTCAAACAAGACAGCCACACAAGCGTGACAAGTTCATGAGAGGCAACCCGAAGAGGAGAAAAGTG